CATTAAAAAGGTTTCAATGCATTCCAATGGGGAAATGCTTTTCGCTAGACAATGATTTCGTTAAACAGCGATTTCAGTGGAACAGATTATCATCGTCTAGCGAGGCACCACTGTACTAGAAATCAGGACTTTTTGATTGTGGCCCTATCATTCTGGAACAGGCTCCTGCTAGACCTCCCAGTCTTTAACAGGATATTGAAGACATGACCCTTTAGAGATGTGTTCAAGGACACCGTCTTCGGAATCAATCTGTGAGTCTCCTGATCCTGCCATAATTTAGGTTTTAGCTTGTCTCCTTTGCTATTTGCACTTGAAGTAACATTTTCTAGTTAAACCTCTGGTTTGTGGGGTGGGTTCTTGGCTTATTTTTTTCTTCTTCTTTAGCCTGCAAGGTAATGGATCATTTTCTGTTGCATTATTGTTTCCATTGATGGAGATGATCTGTTAGGCATCTGGCTATGGAGGCAGAGGTTGGGAGTTTGATTCCCCACCGTGCCTCTTTGTCATTTGCTGGACTTGATCCATAGGGTCCATTCCAGCTCTGCATTTCTAAGGTTATTATTATTATTGTTATCTGAACCACTTACAGATCATCGTCAACCCAGCTCTGCAGTTCTAAGGTCATTATTATTATTGTTATCTGAACTGCTTACTTTACAGATCATCGTCAAGCATAGCGTATTTTGAGTGCTAGGTTCTAGTGGAAAAGTGGGCTGTAAGTGAAATAAATAAACAAGCAAATAATCTTTTGATTTAACCATACTCCGCCCCAACTTTTGGGGATATTTTATTTTGTAATCATTTCTTTTTTCTTATCCTTCAGTTATTTAGGAGGCATGTATTTTTTTTTCCATGTCCTCACCACCACCATCACCCATATTAGCCTAGTTCAGAGAAATCAGGAAAAAAAGCTGTGGGGTTACCCACAACAGTGCAAATGCAAGAGGAGTTGATGATACTTTTATTAGACCACTTAAAAACAATCAAACAAACAGCAGCCCTTTGTTTGAAGAGCAGGGGAGTAAATTCCGAACAAATGCTGCCCAGGGAGCTATTTGGAACCATACAATCTCTTGGTTTTATTTATAACCCTGTAGTTGTGCAGGTATATGTTATCATGCTGTAAACCACTCAGAAGAGTGGTTGCACTAATGGGGTGGTATGTAAGCAAACAAAAATAGTTTGAAGAGCAGGGGAGTAAATTCCGAACAAATGCTGCCCAGGGAGCTATTTCGAGCCATACAATCTCTTGGTTTTATTTATAACCCTGTAGTTGTGCAGGTATATGTTATCATGCTGTAAACCACTCAGAAGAGTGGTTGCACTAATGGGGTGGTATGTAAGCAAACAAAAATAACACGCGCACACACGCGCGCACACACACACACACACATACACACAGAGAGAATGTGTTTGCAGAAGAACTGCCATGAAACTTTGGGACTCTAATATATACTTTTTCTGTGCTATCCACAAGCCTGAGGAAGATGAATTATCACTGAAAGCTAGCTGTCTGCTTGATTTTTCAGTGGTCTAATAAAGATATCATCTGCTCTTGCGTTTGTATCAATCTTAAATCCTGCCAGTCCCTTTTCTAATTTAAATATTCTTTGATTTATATTTCTGTTTCCGGTCCTTCAAAATTGATTTTTATTTGTTGGATCTTTTTATGGGGAGGGACTCTTGTTGCCTCTTCTCTGTAGTGCTCTGCAGAAATTTTATTATTTGTCCCTTCCTACGCAGTTTATTGGGTTCAACCTGTATCAGTTGTTTGTGTTACAAGCTTCTCAGTGTTTTGTCTTCTGTGACATTAGCTGGTTGTATCCTGTGTATGGATTAGTTTAGTACGCACACAGTGCTTTATGGACATCATCACCCATCTATTGATCTCCACATCCAGGCACTGTAAAGTTCCTTTTTGCATGCCATCATGGAAGAAACACATGAGGGAAGGTTCAATGGCAGCAGATGCAACAGCATTCCTAAGAGCAGTCAGCAGTGAGTCTGTTGAGGCCTGTTGTTCTAAGCAGTTGTCCGTACACTACGCTGTTTTCAATTGTAAGTAAATGAAACTTTTTGTTTTGTCTCTTACCAGTGTCTCAGAGTGAGTTAATGAGACTGTGAGTGCCAGCTGATGAGAGAAAAAGGTTGGCCTACTCTGGGGGAGACTTGATGCTAATGCTGCTCTGCACATCCCTGCACATCTGCTGTGCAGCAAGAGATTATTTAACCAAGATACAAAACTCTGCAACAGAAGCCACCCACATTTGAAACAGAATCATTGAATGACTGATTTTACAGAAGCAGCCGTGGGCAGCAGTAACAGCAATTCCACTGATGGAAGAGACAAGAATGATATTTCATTAGATGTTCACCTTCCACAACTGCTCAGGAATTGATCAGACTTAGTCACCCAGCAAGAAGAAGGTAATAATATATTAATCCATAGTACTGTTAGCATTGGCAGCTGCTTCAAAATAGGGGGGGACACGGTCTGTAATGCTTCTGTGGTGAGAAACCTGGAGGGGCTGCAAGAGGAGGAACACCCTCTACAGACCCCCTGCATAATAGCATGGCGTGAGATCCTCTTGGTGAATAATACCAATGTATTTTCTCTCAAAAGTCAGTAATGACATTCCTGGAGAGACATTCTAACTTTTGGAATGGAAAAAATCCCTGCACAAATCTAGGAAATGACTCACAGTGATGCCAATGAAGACCAAAATAGATCCTGGCTATCATTGGGAACATTTAGCTTGAAATCTTTGGATGGCCAGGTTGAGGTCCATAGACTCAACTTCCCCAATCCTCACTTAGACAATGTTTTCCCAGACTTCGTTCATGCGATTTCTTCTGAAGGATGTCAGATCATTTACACAAGTATTCTGTGATAGCTTGAAATCTTTGGATGGCCAGGTTGAAGTCCATAGACTCAGTCCTCACTTAGACAATGTTTTCCAGACTTTGTTCATGGGATTTCTTCTGAAGGAAGTCAGATCATTTACACAACTATTCTGTGATTGAAAAGTTATGAAGATGTGCACCTAGTTGGAAAAAATGTTTCTGGGGAAGGGGTGGATTGGGGAAGTTGAGTCTATGGACCTCAACTTATGAAGATGTGCACCTAGTTGGAAAAATGTTTCTGGGGAAGGGGTGCAGGGAAGTTGGGTGCAACTTTGTGCCAACATATTGTCCCCACATCCTTTCCTTGACCATGGGCAAGTGGGGATACTCTTGGAAAGTTGACAAGGAAGGGTAGATTGCATTTGAAGACCTACGACTACTTCCTTGACTATGAGCTCCAGAGATTCTATACCCTCTCCTAGGATCTGTGTCTATGCAATGAAAGAAACCATCATGCCAATCTATACTTCCATCTCATACCTACTTCCATGGTGAGCAGCTCACACCCTTCATTTGCAGGAAAGTAGCAAAGACTTCTGGAATCAAAATGGCGTATCTGAGCACGTACTCCACATATTAACTTCTTAGCATTTTAACTGTCACTTGCCTGTTACTAGTCTCCTGCATAATTCAGAAAATCTTGAAGCTCGGACAGAAACTCAACCAACACCAGATTCATTTCCAGTATGACCTTTATTGAGCATGAACTGCTGTGTGACTGGTTTACATCGAACAACAAAAGGTTGCGTACTGTGCATGTCAAGGTAGGTTCTCTCATGAACAAAAGTCCATTTTAATTGCACCATTGAGGTAAACATAATTATTAAATAGCTTAAGGCTAGGAGAGTTCTGGGTATTAGTATTATGTTTTTTTCTCATTCATTCATTCATTCCTTATTGTTGGTTTGTATTTGGCTCAGTTGATTCTTTGCATAATACATCTTAAGACGTTTCCTCCAAAGCATCCTATCAGCAGTTTAGGAAAGTCGGCAACTTCCTCTGTCTGAAATAACAGCTCATGCAATTTTTTTCCCCTAAGAAAAATTAAAATAATGAAATTCCCCAAGATCTGCAAGAGGGAGCGCATAGGGTTGGCATGCATTCCCCCCCACCCCTGGGTATTGCACTAAAAGAAATCCAAAATAAAATAAATAGTTTCTGGAGATGCCACAAGAGAACCCGTTCTGCTTAGAAGCCGTCACTTACATGCATTTTGCAGCTGTCGTATGGCTTAACCTTTTGCACCGACCCAAGCTCTTTAGAAGGAGAACATAGGATTATCTTAGTCACTCTCCTTGACTTCTTTCATTACAGCATGTGAAGAAGTGACCTTCTCTACCTTCTTAGTGGACACCAATTTCTCTGCAACCGTCTCCTCATGCTCCTCCATCTTCTGTGTGACGGTCACAGACTTCGTGATGTAGGTGGTGGTCCCGTCGCCCCCTTCGCTGGTGATTTTCTCAACTTTTTTGGTCACCACCACTTTCTCTTCACTCTTTCCCTTCTTCTCCTCCTCTATGGGACTCACATCCAGCCCATTGGTGACCACACCTTTATCTTCTTCCTGCTTTGCCTTCGAGTCTTCTTCCTCCCCCTTGTCCTCCACTTCCCCATTCACTGCTATGTCCTCTTTGCTCGACCCCTTGGATGTCTTCTCAGCTTTTTCTTTCTTCTCTTCTTTTGTTTCTTTCTCTGCACTAACTTTAACTGCTTTGGCGACTGAGATGATCTCTTCTACTTCCTTCACTGGGCTGCCTGCCTTTTCTGGGGAGGCTGCCTTTTCTGGAGTCCCTGCCTTTTCTGGAGAAGCAGCTTTCTCTGGAGTCCCTGCCTTTTCTGGAGAGGTGGCTTTCTCTGGGGTCCCTGCTTTCTCTGGAGAAGCTGGCTTGTCTGGGGTACCTGCTTTCTCAGGAGTCCCTGCTTTTGCAGGAGACTCTTTCTCTGGAGTGCTGGGTTTCTCAGGGGAAGCCTTCTCAGGTGTCCCAGCTTTCTCAGGAGATGCTGCCTTTTCTGGAGTTCCGGCCTTCTCAGGAGAACCTTTCCCTGGGGTTCCTGCTTTTTCTGGTGACCCTGCTTTTTCTGGAGACCCGGCTTTTGCTGGGGAGCTTGCTTTCTCCTCTTCCTCAGCCTCCTCTCCTTCACCTTCCTGCTCTTTCTCCTCTCCACTTTCTCCTCCCTTGTCCTCTTCTTTAGCCCCTGCTTCTTCTGCCACTGGAGACTTTGGTGGAGATTTTTTCACCTTCTCTGCAGCAACAGCTTCCTCTGCCTCTCCTTCACCTTCTTCTGCACCTTCTTCTTTGCTCTCAGCTTCAGCTTCCTCTCCCTCAGCTTCTCCTTCCCCAGCTTCCTCTTCTGCTTCTTCATCACCCTCCTCTTTTTCACTTTTTTCTTCTTCCTTCTCAGATCCACCTTCTTCCGCTTGATCAGACTTTGCATCTCCCTCACCTTCTTCTTCACCTTCTTCCTCTTCTTCTCCTCCTTCCTCACCTTCAGGGGCAGCTGCTTCAACCTCAGCCTTGCTCTCTGCCACAATTTCCTCCTCCACCGCTTCTCCTTCCTCTTCCTCCTTCTCTTCTTCAGCTGCTGCTCCACCAGCCAGCTCTTCAGCCATCGCTGCTAAAGCCTCTTCAAGTTCAGATTTCTCATCCTCTACTTTTGTCTCTTCAATGATTTCTTCTACAAATTTGTGCTGGACCTTTAGCTTTGTAGATTCAACTTTTGATTTCTGGATTTTGCTAGCAGATATTGTTACAGAGGGCTGCCTGTGTGTGAATGTTGGCCCAGTGATGCTGCCAGAGAAGGCACTGAATCTTGTTTCTTCACCCTCAAGAAGTTTCCTAGGGAAATAAGGTAGGGAAAAATAACATGAATTTCCAGCATATCCAATGATCAAGTGCCTTGTAAGCAGCTCTAACAGCTATGGAAAGCTATTTTGAGTAAACAGAATAAAGAATAGGGATGGACAATCTCCAGGGCTGTGGAAGCTGTACTTGACCATCCCTGCTCTTGGGAGAGCTGCATCCTCTTCCACCACCTCTTAAAAAAAGAGCTGCAAAGTGTGGTGCTTATATATTGCCCCATAGCACTTCAAGCATTATCTGGGCAGTTTACAAGTTAATTATTCAGGCTACAAATTTCCCACACCCCAGCAAACTGGGTACTTATTTTACTGAACTCAGAAGGATAGAAGACTGAATGAACCTTGAGCCAGCTACCTGGGATTGAACCCTGGATGATGAGCACACTTTTGGCTGCAGTACTGCAGTTTGGCCACTGCGCCATGAAGCTCTTCCCCAATTTCCTTCTTACAAAAACAAAACAAAGAGATTCTACACTGAAAGCCCCTTTGCACTGTTTGGTGGCATTATTTATTTATTTATTTATTTATTTATTTATTTATTGGACTTATATACCGCCCCATAGCGCTACAAGCACTCTCCGGGCGGTTTACAATTTTTAATTATACAGGCTACACATTGCCCCCCCAGCAAGCTGGGTACTCATTTTACCGACCTCGGAAGGATGGAAGGCTGAGTCAACCTTGAGCCGGCTACCTGGGATTTGAACCCCAGGTCGTGAGCACAGTTTTAGCTGCAGTACAGCGTTTTAACCACTGCGCCACGAGGCTCTTATTATTACCACAGACTACACAGTCCTAAAATCCCCAAACCAGTATGACTACACACTATGTTGTCTGGGGGATTCTGTGAGCTGTAGTCCAAAAAAAGTGCTTTTCTAGTATTTGCTGAAGGGTGGTGTGATCTTGCTGCCTGTCATTGCTGGGGGTCCATCAAGACATGGCCAAATTGATTTTAGATGGCACAAAGGAACCTCTGAGCCAAGTTTTGTTCAAAATAGGTGCCCCCCCCATTTTTGGTGATGTACAGAGATATTCAAGGGGGACTCAGACCTTAGATGTAATAAAGAGATATGCAAACACAAATTAAATGTAATTTCTACATGTAAACATTAAAAAACCCCAGACCTCAAAGTTCTGGACAAATACAACTTAAAACTGAAGTAATGGGAAATTGAACTGACAAATTTCCTATTTCTATTCGTTCTTAACCATTTCAGCTAGAATGGGGTGATGGTAGTTTTAGTCTAATCCTTTGGAGGACCACAGGGCTCATCACTATTTTATACTCACTGTTTTATATTTGCTATGCTACTTACTCCATATCAAATGTTTCAGGACTACATGTATTCCTGGATTAAAATAGTGGTAAGGTGGGGGGGATCTGCAAACTGCATTTTAATTTTTGGATTGGTTTTTGCTTGATTTAGTCAAGACTAACTAATCTGGTATCTGCAACACTGCTTCTAAACATGTGCTAGAATTTCTGGTCTGTTTTGCTCTGTTTGTTTTAGCCTTGAATCATTTTTTTCAGTGCCAGTCATGAGCAGAAGGGGATGAAAGGAGCTATCCAGGGTGCTGGACCTTTTTCAGAGCTATAGGTCAGTGGTTGCCAACCTTGGGCCTCCAGATGTTCTTGGACTTCAACTCCCAGAAATCCTGGCCAGCAGAGGTGGTGGTGAAGGCTTCTGGGACTTGTAGTCCAAGAACATCTGGAGGCCCAGGGTTGGGGACCACTGCTATAGGTCATCACGTTGACTAGCTCCTGGAAAATTTGGTGTAGAACTGGAACTCCCTGTCCTGACAAAATTTGACTCATTAGCTTTTACTGATACCCACTGTGGTGTAATGGTTAGAGTTATGGACTAGCCCCTAGGAGACCTGAGTTCAAATCATTGCTCAGCTACAGGAACTCACTTCTTACATTTCCAGGATCAGCAGAACAAAGTGTACTTACTGCAGAGTAAGTTAATCATATTCAAATACATGGTACCTTTCCTTCTAGAAGAAGACCGGGATGCTGCTTTAGCACTGCAATGCTAAGAGCGCCTGTGTGCCTGAGAGAGCGCGGGGAGTGCCCCGCCTTCCTCAGAGGCTCAGCCGGTCCGCGGTCCCAAAACAGTTGGGGACCGCTGCAATAGAAAACAGCCAAATCCTTTACAGTAGAGGCTGTGTGTGTCAGTTGAAATGGACTTATCCGGTCCATGGTCCCAAAATGGTTGGGGACTGCTGCAATAGAAAACGCCAAATCCTTTACAGTAGAGACTGTGTGTGTCAGTTGGAATGGACTTACAGTGATCCAAGTAGAACTTTCAAGGATTTTTGGAATATGCCAAAACTCTACAGAAGAAAGCAAAGGTAACCCAAAACTCAATACTATGAGTTGTCCATATTTCAAATTGTGTTTTTAAAAAATGTTAAAGCAGCCTTCTAAGGGCCAGCGTGTTTCATGAGGCTCAAAGCATGCCGGTTTCATGATTGTTTTTGTTTCTGCTGGAAACAGGAGCATCTGCAGTGCAATTCAAAGAACAGCCACAGGGGTACGGTGTCTACCATACCTGTATGCGGCAATTTCAATATCGAGCGCCATCTTGACATTGAGCAGGTCCTGGTATTCCCTCAAATGACGTGCCATTTCCCACTTCGTACCTCTCAGCTCATTTTCTAGTTGTTGGATGGTGTCCTGCAATTGGAACACAGAACATTTGTTAGGATAGGCAAAAAGGGATGCAGTGATAGTTGAACAACATATGATAACAGAGGGCTACATTTGGAGCCTTCAGCCATTGTGTGAGTAGCCTATATTGTGTTGACATTTACTTCCCCATCTCAGCCAGTCAGTACTAGGTAGCAGTCCGTTGATTCGTTCATATGACATGGGTTCCTTAATGATCTAAACTTTCCTTTTCTAACAATCATCAAAAGATCCATGCTTGAAAAATTCTAGGAAGTGCAAAGAGTAATGAATAAAATAGAAGCCTATTAAGGTGTGGAACCAAGGAGGAATCTTAAGGAAACATTGATGGAACTAAGCCCCAGAAGAGCCATTCCAATGAACTGTAACAGCTCTGTCCAACTCGGAACTCTTCAGATACTTTGGAATATAGTTTCCATCATCCATTGGCCATGTCAGTTGAGTCTGATGGGATTTGCAATACAAAATATTTGGAAAGCACCAAGTTGAGAAATGGCTAGACTAAAGAACACAGACAAAATGACCCAATTATGTTCAGAGACATAATACTCTGGATTTAGTTCCCCCCCCCCCAAAAGTGCAATAAACCTGTGAAATGCAGCTTGATAACCCAGTTTTGCTCCCTGGATCTGAAAACTGCCAGCACATTCTTGCATGACTGTTATATTTCCAGTTGCTTCTGATACCTAACTCATGGGCTTCTCCCCTAGACTATTAAAATGAATCACCTCCCACCAAGACATCACTTAGATGTATGTAGAAATGGCAACAGGACTTCATTGACCTAAATTTCTGTATTCTGCTTAATGAAGCAATGGCTGCAGACTGTTTAAATTTCCTCACTTTCAAGATGCATTTTTGGCAAAATCTTTAAAATCTTTGTGTTTCAAATTCATAGGTGGTTTGTGCTTAGATCAGGGGTGCAACCTTGGAAAGTCTGGGTAGAGCTGATTTCATCCATGTCACTCCTATTTAAAATGCATTGACAGTATTCAGGATCTTTGCTTCAGTTTGGGTTTACCGGCACTGCAGCAAAACAGGTCAACTCACAAACTAGCAAGCTGAAAAATAAAATAAGCTGTGCAATGATGAGAAGAATCACAGTTCTGGACAGATTTAACAGAACATTTTGAAACCCACTGATTCAAGAATTACAACAGGGAGATTGACTGACTGATATACTCACAGAGTTGGCAACTTAATTCAAGCTGACCCAAATAAACAGGTTTATTAATGATAGTTTTCTTTACCAATTAATGTTACTGGTATTCAGAACTTCAGTTCGGGCTTTTTTCTGTGCATGTTAGCATTCAATGATCATTAATATCCAAAGCTTTGTTGAATAGAACAGCAGGATTAATTTGAATTTCTGGCACAGTTATAAACCGACAGTGAGCAGCAAAATAAAATTCTTTCACTATAGAGCAATTCAAACTGGATTTACATTCAATTAATAGAGTACTAAAGATTAATGAAATACTTCACTCTGATAAAGTGCATAAGATTTCCGTACATTCAATTGCTAGTCTTAACCAGAGTAGACCCACTGAATTAATGGGATTTAGAAAAGTATTGGCTTTCCATTCAGCAACCAAAACAGTGGATCTACTCTAGATGAGACTAGTAAATGGCTTCAAAACTTGGTTTCCAATGATTTAGCAGTGGTTAGTGGCAAAATGCCTAGTTTACAGAGCAAAGCTAAACTGTAATTGAGTTTCTGATGTGAATCCATAGGAAGAGCTGTACTGGATGAAACTAAACTAATCTAGTCTATCATTATGTTAGAACAAGGACCATCCAAATTGCCTTTGGCAACCCATTAAGCAGGAGAGCAGTATAATACCACTATTTGGCCCATGTTCCCCAGTCTTAAGAGGCATACTGTCTCTTATAATAAGTATCTCAGCATAATGGTTTGGATATTTGACTACACAGCCATCTCCCTCACTTCTAGGGAGGCCCAGATCCAAGCAGTTGCAATCAAATCCCACTGAATTTCATGCAAGTTGGTCCCTTGTAAACTGCCCATGATTTGCTTGTGTTTATCAATATATCCGTTAATCTGCCTAGTCTGTGTCAGCAGTATTTTTCATTAGAATAAATAGTTGGGGAAGGAATGGGTAAATCTCTACACAAAATATATTTTTTTCTTCCCAGGAGCACATGGAAATCTGCATGAGCATTAGACATGGCATAGCATGAGTTTCTGTTATATTTCTGAAGCTACGTATGATCACATAGCTTTGTCTAATAAACAGAGTTATTCTAGCCTGATGTCATATTTATTTCAGGAAATGCTTTACTTTTCCTCTTCTTGTATGTACTATTGAATGTCAGTCTGCATTGCTCAACTGATTTGCCAGTCAGAATCTTAGAATAGCTGCCTTTTTTGCGCTGACAAGATAGTTCTACAACTTCCTGATGCCAGCAAGCTCTGCATTGCAGAACGTGGTGACACACTTGGATGAACAGTCCTTCTCTGAGGTGGCAAATCTCGTTTTCTGTTGGCTTGGTTTATAAGTCTCTTTTCAAAGTTAATTGAATAGAAGCAAATCTCCCCAGGCTTTTAGAGGCTACTCTCAAGGTGGTGGTCTTGCCCCAAGTAAGGTTCTTCAAAGGCATCCATATCTTGCCAGAAAAAAAAAGAAGGGCTCAGAAATGGGTTGCTTTCCATCCTAATGGGGAGTTTGTTCTGGGAATTCGCATTGGTTTTGATGGGTCTGTTCAGAGACCAGCTCAGCAGAAATAGCTTCTGCATTGCAGAACCTAATTGTGCTAGTTTAGAGTACATACATGCAGTGTAAAATAGCACACTAAAATAGTGTACTATTTTGCAGCAAATAAAGTCATTTATTATTGGCCTTCAAAATTATTGTCCAGTGGCTGGGTGAACTTTTCCTACATCTTATGATGACTCATCCTGCAGAGGACCATCTTGATTCCCAGATTCACTGTGCTGTGGAAGAAAACTGTTTGTGAAATCATAGGATACAAAGAACAAAGAACAGCAGTCATGTAGATCATCATTGCAAAAAGCTGTCGGGTTTTATTGCAGAAACTTTGTGAATAAGCTCATTTTACAAAGTACTCTTCCAATTAGAGCAGAACCACTAAACTCAATGGGACTTCCATAAGTGGAAACTTAAAACCCATTTGTTTCAAATAGTGTACAGTACTCTGGTTTGTATTAATACTAGATTTAGTCCACACTATTCTGTGGAAACTTAAAACCCATTTGTTTCAAATGGTGTACTCTGGTTGATATTAATACTAGGTTTAGTCCACACTATTCACTCTTGAATTTCTTCTTTATTCTGGTTTGCCTTGATTGCCTTGAAGTCTCTAGAAAGGCTAATAATAAAAAATGGCATCGCCCTGTCAGCACTTGAGGACTGCAATCCTCCCTAGGTGGATTGCTCTTCTATTTTGTATGCTGCAGTGCAGCTTTTTCCAAGCTGGGACCCTCCAGATGTTTTAGGCAACAGGTCCCACCATGCCCAGCCAACATCTGGAAGAAGCAAAGATACTCAGGACCATTCTGAAGGTCATGGCTTCTCACTCAGTTTGTTGCGCAACGCTGGTGCAAGACTGAGCATGCCCAAGGATAGAACCTTCAGCGTTTATTGGCACTAGTATAAATTAATTAAATAAATAGATGAACTCAGGGAGTAACATTGCTTGTGAGCTTTCTATTGTGCAGGAGTTCTGCTGAGAACGGTGGGAACTGTCCAGGGAGAATTTTGTAAGAGGAGAACTTATTAGGGACTCCTAGAGTCCAGACATCATGAGCAGAATTTTCTGAGCCTTTTTGCACCTTTCCAATCCCTTCCTTTGATCTTTCCAAAGCTGCCTTTACCCTGGCTTGGGTCACATCCATGGCCTTTCCACAGTTTCCTTGAGGCATAAACTGGAAATGAAATCCCACACTCTACCAAACCTCTGGAAGTGAGTGGCTCTGAGTTGCATGGAAGACAGCAGAATCCTTCTCCCATCTCTCTCTCTCTTTCATTGGGAGAGCTGCATTTTCTACAGTATTCCTTTCTTGGTATTGTGGAGCTGGAAGGGACCCTATGGATCATCCAAGTCCAGCCCTGGTCAAGGAGGCACTGTGGGGGAATTGAACTCCCAACCTCTGGCTGCACAGCCAGATGCCTTAAACCACTGAGCTATCAATTCCATTTCTTTACTCTGCCATATCCTTCCTCCTTTCCCAGAGCTGCATTTTGAGAGGTGGAAAAAATCACCCCTCCCTCCAGTGCTTCCCTCCTTCCCCTCACCATCCTGAGTTTAGCATCTGATTCACCAAGGAGGTCCACATAGCTCAGAAACCTGAAAAACCTACATTGCAGAATTTGTCCTTAAATCATGGTCACTTCTCCCCTTTTGATGCTTGTAATGCAATCAGGTGGCTGTGTTCCAGTTCTGGCCCCCCACCACAGCCTCAAAGAAGCCAAGAAGCATTTTCCTCCCTGTTGTCCTTGAAAAGTTCCTCCCACAGACAGAAAACTCACTCATCCCCACTTCTTCCTGGTTTAGTTGGAAACCACTGGGGATCCTCCACCCCTGCCCCACCCCCCAACCAATGCAATGTTCATGCCTGCCTTTTCCACTGTCAGTGGCACCAGGAGAAAAATGAAAACCCACACAAGGCTGAGAGATACCAAAAAAAGGGCAAAGCACATTTTCGTGTGTGTGTGTGTGTGGGGGGGGCACTTTTTCTTAAAAAAGAACCATCTGTATAGCGGACATTTCCAAGTTCCACCTTCAGCCTATGGATGTCCAGGACGCTAACTTCCGAGGAAGCGTGCTTCAGCTTGCAGTTATCTTTTTCGTGTCTACAATTGAAATTCAGTTTTAAAGTGTTGGTGTGCAGGGAGCATCTTTCCTTCAGGTAACCAGGGTGATCTGTGATTACCAGAAGAAGATCTATTTTCGGGACCGGCTGCTGGCTCCTGGATTCAGATGCTGGCCGTTTCCCTCCATCCCCGTGTTGCATTTTTTCATGGAAGCAGGAAGAGCGTGGTCTTCTTCCTCATGTGGGCAGCCCCAGACATGCTGTGGGCGAGGGGAAACACTGCTTCTCCCCCCCTCTCTCTGCGCGTCTCAGCCACGCCCCCAGCATCCCTTAGCCACGCCCATGGACCATTCCTCCGCGAGGCTCCCAGAGAATGCTAGGGAGGGAAGGAGCGCTAGGGGTCATCTAGTCTGACCCGTCACCTCTTCCTCTCCTCTCCCTCCACCCCCAA